ATACTTTTAGAAGTTCATACGCAGGGGAGACTCCATATAGTATTTCATAAGGAGATTTGTGACTGAGTGTAGGAGTGGGGTGTCTGTTGATGGTATAGACAGCTGTGAAAGCAGCTTCACCCCAAAAACGTTCAGGACATTTAGCTGAGATCAGAAGAGTGCGAACAGTATCAAGAATGTGTCTATGCTTTCGTTCAGCACGACCATTTTGGGGAGATGYTCCAGGGCAGGAGTACTGAGAGAGAGTACCCTGAGACTTAAGAAACGAGAGAATAGAAGATTCTTTGTACTCCATAGCATTATCTGCTCGAAGAATCTTAATAGGTTTGGAGAATTGAGTTAGAATCATRCGGGCAAAAGTGATATAAATATGTGGTAACTCAGAACGATGCTTCATAAGATATATCCAAGTGAAACGTGTATGATCATCCACAAAAATAACAAAATACCAAGCACCACCCATGGAGGGATGTGGTGATGGTCCCCATACATCAGAATGAATAAGATCAAAAGGTAAAGCAGAAGTAAATTCATTAATGTTAAAAGGAAGGGCRTGGTGTTTACCAAGTTTACAAGATAGACAAGAAATGTTTTCAGAAGAAACATTTCCTAACGACCCTGAACTAGCTAACACTTTTATTCTATGAGGGGAAAGATGACCTAGACGAGCATGCCATAGATCAAATGAAGCTGTACTAGACACAGAGGCAACAAAATTTGGTGATTGCAAGGGAAGACGCATATATACCACTTCAAGCACCCGTCCAACTCTACGGCCTACACCAAGGATCTGCTTGGTCTTTGGATCCTGCACAAGACAACCAGAGGAATGAAATAATATTAGTAGACCAAGTTCCTGGAGTTGAGTAAGAGATACTAGACCCAAGGCTAGCCGTGGCACATGTAGGACATCAGATAATTGAACAATATCAGTGGATAAGTTACCACTGAATAAGACAGGTAAAGGAGTAAGATCTGTTGTTTTAACAGATGCAAGGTGATAAGGTTGCGTAGAGAGAAAACCATCAGGGCAAGGTGTCATGTGGTTAAAGCAACCAGAATCAAATATCCACATAGTACCTGCTGTCGAGGAGTGTTGAGAATTCACACCAAGAGAACCTGTCATAATTTGTTCCATGAGCTCTTGATTTCTACGTATGAGGTCCATCAGATCTGGAGATGAAGAAACCGATCCTGCAACAGGGACTGATAAAGGTTCATTTGGAGTGACCGATCTGGCAACGGATTGGTTTCGATGTTGATAATTTCTTGGATTTGGATTCTGAGGACAATCGGATTGGTAATGACGTGGTTGTGTAACTCCACAGTAGCGGCACGTACGAACGGGGCAGTCCAAGAGAATATGAGATGTAGAGTGACAGAAGGTACACTCATTTGTGTTTGGCTTCCATTCACCGGTAGTCTGTCTTCCTGCTTGCTTGGCATTGTGATTAGGCTTACCATAATTATTGTTAAACTTACCTCTTGGCCTTGTTGAGGATGATGTGTGCAAGACCGTCTCAGTAGGTATAGGAGAGCGCAAATTAAGACGAGTTTCCTCGCTTAGTARTTCAGTAATGACATCTTCAAGAGTGGGCAAYGGATGTCTGTGAAGAAGAGAAGCACGGACATTCTCAAATTTGTCRGTGAGACCCATCAAGATGGTGATGAGATGAAGCTGACTAAAGTAGGCATGAAACTGACGGGCAGTCTCATCATAAATCTGAGGTGCACCAAGATTCAGTTGATCTCGAAGAGACTGCATGTCTGAGATATAGGAACTCACGGACTGATCAGGAAGCTGCCGTTTGTTCTGAAAAGTGGTCCACAGTTGATACTGATGAGACAAGCCAGTAGACGTGTATCGCTTAGCTAAGAAATCCCAGAGTCCCTTAGCAGTGGTGTAGCCAAGGAATTGCTGATTGATTTCAGCAGTGGTTGAGGCATTAATGAAGCTCAAGATTTTTGCGTTGTTGATGTCCCATTCATTCGTGCGCTTGACAAAATCAACAACATTCTCATTGGTAAGTTGAGTAGGAGCAACAGACTTACCAGTCACATAGGAATACAAGCCATGAGACTTGAGAAGGATAGTCATGTGGTGTTGCCACAAGATATAGTTGTTTCCATTGAAAACAAYCGWGATTGGGTTTGAGTGACTAGGATTGGAAGCCATAGTAGGTTGATTGGAAACTTGAAAAATCGAAAATCCGGGTAAGTAGAGTCCGGGTGAATCCGGGTAAATCCGGGTGATGCAGGAGACGCAAATGTCGAGATGGAACGGTTGTCGGCGGCAGCAGAGAAGCGGCGATGGAGGCTGAGTGATGCAAAACGATGCTAAACTGTGACAGGAGACGCAAATGTCGAGATCTTGAAATCGACAGATTTGGAGATCGAGTATATAACAATCGAAAAAAAAGGAGCAACCTATTGCTCTGATACCATGTTAGAATAAGAGAAAGAGAGGGCCAAAAGATTGCCGTTTGTATTGAATGAATATTGTTGAAACGTTACAAGAAAAGGAGAAAACCTAAGCTACTTATATAGGATAGTACAGAGGCCTAAACCCTAAACCTAAAAGCCCACGGGCTTATATATATGAGCTTCTTATATACAACTAACACTCCACAACCACCGTTGTCCATATCCACCACCACTAGTATCGTCGTCCACCACCATCTCCATCATAACATATATTAGGATGATTTGGTTACAATTTCTTAACCAAATTCAAGATTGTTGAAGTATTTGCTGGTATGCTGGTTTAAATAGGTGCACCGTTGATAGTGCTTATTGGTTGTAGGTTTAACAAATTATGGTTGCATTGTTGCTTCGGAAGAATTTACACGAAAGTCAATTGGATTGGTCTCTCCTATTGTGGTTGCTGTCTACCATGGAAATGGTAAACACTTTGGCCTCTAGTTGATTTTTCAACTTGTATCAACACTTTGGTTTATAGTTGTTTGAATTGTTTACACGTTTGATGTTTATATATGATTCAATAAATGGTAAATATTTTTTTTTCTTATTAAATGTTAATTTTATTGTTATTTATAATTAAAAAAATTGAAAAAAAATATAAAAAAAAAAAGGTATTTTTGTCATTTTTCATCATTCCATTCTAACTTTGTTGCAACCAAACAAGCAAATTTCAATCCATTAGACAGATTACATTTCATTCATGCCAACCAAATACTTGGTCAAACTTGATAACATTTCATTCTAATTCCTTCCAGACTCCAATTCCTTTAACAAATTTCATTCCTTCATAAATCATTCTGCGAACCAAACGCCCCCTCATAGTTTGTTCAATCAGCTGTACAAGATCGTTTGATAGTGGTTTAATGATATAAAAAGTGGCTTATTCAGTAAACTTCTAAGATGAAGCTTTATGCAAAAAGTTAATAAAATAATATAGTTGGCGACTTGTTTATCTATGAAACCTTTTCTATGATGACCGTAAAAGAGAGAATAAATCCATAAATAATGTAAAATTTAAAGGATATTAAAGTATAAGTTGAGTTCTTGTTCATGCTTCGAATTCATTGAGCAACCTACCCAATCGCTAAGCCGCATCTTCATGGTGGACTCGTCGATACCTTACATGCATTGTTTCGAGAGTATTTTATTTTGTCTTAATGAAAATGAAAAGAAAGAAAATATGAAACCATTTATTTTAGAATAAATCAAGTAGGCTCAAGGGGCTTTTCTCCATGGATCATTAGTTCAAGTCTTTTTACGGTTATTAAAGATTAGCTGTTATCTTTGTGATCCAATAAAATAAACGGAGTTGTATACAAATTGGTTTGAAAATTCGCAAATAAATCACAAGGATGGTGTCTGATTGATTTGAGTTTGGCTCCAAAGTTCAAAAGTATCAGGAGGTTTCATGTTCAAATCCAATGAGTAATAAAAATTCTCTTGTGGCCACGGATGTTCAACTGCAGTAACTCCGGGCTATCTACAAAACAGGTGGTTGTCCTGAAATTAGTCAGCTTGCATAACAGATTGGATATTCAGGTTAATAAAAAAGACCCGGATGTTGATATATTTGTATTAAGAATGATGAAGCACTTTTGTTAAGAAAACAGCAACCACCTTTTCTCAAAATAACAAAGGGTTTGCTAATGAGTAATCACTATTCTCCTGTCTCTCTCCAAAAAGCAACTACAAAGCTCTTCCATGGAGTTGGGAGTTGGGAGTTGGGAAGGCGCAAAGCTAATATTTATGTACCATCTCCATCAATCCCATTCACCTCCATACTCACCACCCCACCCACCTCCCCACCCCCTGCTTACCTTATTTCCTGCATCTTTCATCTATGAATCACTTCAGTCTCCTTTTTCTTGGTCACTGGACCCCTTTTTCTTTCACCAATTTGCAGTGGTGCTCCTTTCTTTTCGTATTTTGACATGGTGTTCCCACTATCCAAGCATCCATTGATCAACTTCCCTTCACCTCATTTAGTCAATCATTGTTTCTTGATCAAAATCTCGTCATAAAGCTTGTATTTTTACAGTTCTTGATCCTTATGCTTCTGAACTTGAGTTGGGTTTTCTTCGATTTCACATAATATTCACGAAATAGAGCCCTGTTTCGTGCTTCTTGGTTTCTACGGGGTTTAAAGATGGAGTCTTGGAGCTTTGGTTATGTGGGCAAGGGTTTGGTATCTGATGAATCCAAATCCCAAATTATCTTTGGAAACAATATGATTGTGTCTCCAATTGATCAAATGGGCATCGAGAATCAAGGGTTTGGAGACATGTGTTTTCCTCAGATTGTCGGCAATTCTGTGTTCAGTACCCCAGTTATGGCTGCCACTCGCTATGCATTTTTTGAAGAAAATGAATCAAGTTCTAAGCTATCGGGCTCTGTTAGCGACTCCGATCTTAACCTCAATAGAATTGTTAATCAAGAAATTCCCAATATGTTCACTGGTTCCAACAATCTGTGTTCATCTGAAGTTTCTATGCCATCAAAACAGACACGAGTTGCAGGTTCTCCATCACCATTTTGTCAAGTTCTTGGCTGCAACAAGAGCCTCATCTCTTGCAAAGATTACCATAAGAGACATAAAGTGTGTGAAATCCACTCAAAGACTGCTAAAGTCATCGTCAAAGGGGTTGAACAAAGGTTTTGCCAGCAATGTAGCAGGTTATTTCTCCTACCCCTAAACCAAATTCTACAAATTGTTAGGTTTCTACCCTGTTTTCCGATGATCAAAACATCTTTCAAATGGATGGTGTTTCAAGGGGTCACATTCTAGAGGTTTAAGCTTGTTTCTTGGTTTCAGGTTCCATTTATTGAGCGAATTCGACGACGGCAAAAGGAGCTGCCGAAAACGTCTTGCCGACCATAACGAGCGACGGAGGAAACCTCATGTGGGTGGACACTACGGTCGCCATGGGAGATTGCTTCCATCATGTAGGATTGCCACTAGACAGATCGTAACACTTTTACCCATAATTCATTCAAGAAATCTTGATAAACTTTTGAGTTACAAGAAATAAATGAATCTTGTTTCCCTGTTGATTGAAACCTCCAACACTTTATACAGATTTGCATTTGACATTTCGGTTCAGTTTTCGCTGTCTTTTTGTTTCCGTTATCTTATTCGTTTAAACCGTTTTCTGAGATCCAGCAGGTGGCAAATTTAAAGGGATTCCAAGAACAAGGGCAACATCATCTTCTATGTATCATGATGATATATGTCCTATAAAACTTGAAGATGAAATGGCCAATGACATAAGTTCGATGACACAATTGCATTCGGAATCTCTATCTTCTGGTGGTAATCTTGGACCGCAGTATCCTTCTCTTTGCAGCGATAGCAATCGATATACTCAGGCATCGAGTTCTCTTTTCTTTCCCATTTTCAGCAAAAATCCAACAAGTGAGGATGAATTCGGTTCTCAATTTCTTTCCATTTTGCAAGCGAAACTGTACTAATTATTCGTCTTTCAGGCGGCTTCATCGCCATGGATCCTACACGAATGGCTTCAGATTCGAGGAGTGCTCTCTCTCTTCTGTCATCTCAATCGCAGGGTGGGTTTTCGACAAGAAACTCGACCCACAGCTTACACCCTCTGATGATCCCGTTCAACCACAATGGTGATCAAGCCTTTGGAGTGTCGAATAACGTGAACCCGTTGGTGGGTTGTGAAGACGTGAACCCTTCAAATCGGATTTGGTCCGGTGATGGGTCGACAATCGACTTGTTGCAGCTATCATCGGAGCTCGAAAGAGTGGAACATAATAAGGAAATCTTTGGCACAAATGGTGCTTCTGTTGGGCTCACAACATCTAACACATAATATGAACACTGAATATCCCTTTATTTGTTTAGTGGTAATGATACCAACTTTGTTTTGCCTGATTATGAGAATAAAGGGTCTTATTGGCAAGTTGTATTCTAAATAGAACTAATAATGTTGAATGCGTTACTGAAACACATTTGGTTTGATGCAGAATGATTAAATGGTCGAAGTGTTTAAGAGGCTGTTAAAAAACGAATTCATTAGAGTTCGATTTTTGCTGTATTTTTTAATTTTGCCGATTTAGGAAATGTGTACAATTAAGAAGTGAAAACCAATAACTTAATGTCCTTGACGGATTTTTTTTAATTGGGATGTAAAAGTTGAGACTACAACATGAAACTTTTGAATTGTTAATACATTTTTGGCGATTGGTTCGGTCCAAACTGCTAAAAAAACATTCAACCCACATACCAGACCGAGTAGTTTGACTATTTTTTATATCAAATTGGACTGTCAAACCATTGAAAACCATAAAAGCGGTCCAGTTTGACTTAGTTCGATTGTTTAAGCGGTCCAACGGGTTTTTTGAACAACCCCCATATGATATTACTAGCAACATATCTGCGCGCATAATGTTGTGCAAATCATTTTGATTATGAAGCTGACAACCTGAAACGACAATATTGTTGCAAATTTTGTTTTATTCTCCGTCCCTTTCGATGTTAATTTTATAGTTTGTTGTGATTTTAAATCATAATCAGATGATTTATAAATTGGAAGTTAAAATGTTCCATTGGTTAAAGATTTTGAAATAATGTTTTTAACCCAAAGTATTTGTTGTTCTCGTCTTTTACAGATCAACTTATGTATTAATTGGTGGTTTATAGTTTTTAGAACTTGTAATTGAAAAATAAAATGCAAATTTTATGTTTTAATAAAAAAAATGATTGAGTACCAGAATATTTCAAAATAATAGACCGATAGTAAAGTGAAGTAAATCAATTGGACTCTCATGTTCCATATAGGAACTATTTATGAAAATCAAGTCGATTTATACAAATTGAAAAGCAATATGGAACATAAATCTCGAAAAATGTGGCTTTGTATTAAAAAGATGATTTATCACATAGATCGATTGATTTTTCACAATGTTCCTCAATAAAAAAAACCCTTTTAATAATCAAATCTAAGAATGATAACAAATACAAACCAATGCTCTAAAAGGCTTAACACAGCAGCCGTCATGACATGCCGTGACTCAAGGCTCATGTATCACACGATGACGTTAAAGCTTATGGCATGCATGGGTCAATACGCAATTTTGTAATGTGGTATTTGATTTTTCTTACGTATTTATTGTCTTTTAGTGAAATAATGAATAAAAATAAATAAAGATGTACCTTGATTTCTTGGACATTGCAAGGTCTTATATATGATTGGCCTACAAATGACCTCAAAAAGTATGCTGCAAATAATTATACCATAAATAATTAATCAGAAAAACTCAAGCAAACATAAACTAAATCAGTTTAGACATTGTTTGAAAAAAAAAATAGTTTATTTGTTGGGTACATTTTTAGATGGACTTAAGCTAACTTATTGATAAATTAATTAGAATAGCTTTTTAAAAGCGTATTGTGTTATTTTTTTAATTATAACCATGATTAATATTAATAGTTATTTATTATTA